TACAGACAGTTGTGAGCTGCCATGTGGGTGCTGGGAATGGAACCTGGGTCCTCTGGAAGAGCAATCAGTGCTCTTGCCTGCTGAGCCATCTCTCCAGCCCCAAGGCGTACAATTTCAAAGGGTGAGTTCATGCCCTCATGGTGGGAAGCATGGCAGCAGGCCCTTAGATGTGGTACTAGAGCAGTAGCTGAGAGCTCGAATTCTTAGTAGGGAGTATCAGGCAGAGAAAGAGGACAAACTGGGAATGGGGTCAGCTTTTGAAACCTCAAAGCCCTCACTCCTAGAGACACACTTCCTCCAAGGCCTTCCCAAACAGTCCCACCAACTGAGGACCAGGCATTCAAACATATTCAATCCTATGGGAACCATTCTTGTTTAAGACACCACATTCCACATTTTGAAAGTTTACCTTCAACCAGGCATTGGTGCTGCACACCTTTAATCCCAGCACTAGAGAGGCAGAGGCAGGCGGATCTCTGTGAATTTGAGACCAGCCTGGTCTACAGAGGGAGTTCCAGGACAGCCTCTAAAGCCACAGAGAAACTCTGCCTAAAAAAATCAAACAAACAAACAAAAAACAAGAAAGTTTACCTTCACTGGCCTTGTGTCAAGGCCTTTTACAGGAGACATCTTTAACTAGATTATAGTCTCTGAAGGTCAGCTCTCTGTTGTAACTTTGTTTTATGAGGTTCTCATAAGATATATGTCATAATTTTTAGTCACAGACATGTTTGTGTTATGGAATATCATTTAAAGATGTCTTGCAAGCTGGGCAGTGGTGGGGTAATCCCAGCACTCGGGAGGCAGAGGCAGGCGGATCTCTGGGAGTTCAAGACAAGCCTACTCTACAAGAGCGAGTTCCAGGACATCCTCCAAAGCCACAGAGAAACCCTGCTTCGAAAAACCAGATAGATAAATAGAAAGATAGATAGATAGATAGATAGATAGATAGATAGATAGATAGATAGATAGATAAGTGTTACATTTGTTTATGTTGTGGAACATTTGTATAATGATGCCAATTGCCTGTGGACTTTTATCTTTCTCTATTCTATATACATTTCCTTGCTGTGTAACTGAGTTGCTGGCCCCTGATATCCTCCTCTCCTCCTCCTCCTTTTGCTCCTCCATCTCCTCTTTGTCTCCTTCCATTTATTCTCTCTGCATGCCAGCCCCCACCTATTTCTCTCTCCTGCCTTGCTATTGGTTGTTCAGCTCTTTATTAGACCAATCAGGTATTTTAGACAGGCAAAGTAACACAGCTTCACACAGTTAAACAAATGCAGCATAAAAGAATGCAACACATGTTTGCATCATTAAACAAATGTCCCATGGCATAAACAAATGTAACACATCTTCCTATAATATTCCACAACACTCTACTACCTATAGCCTTCATTGAATTTTAGGTACTCAACATTTACTTTTTCTAAATGTGAGAAAATGACTCCCAAATTTCTGCTGCTTTACTCAGTAGAACAACTCCCCATCTTCTCAATTTCTCCCATCTATCTTTCTCTCAAGAACTCCTTCCCATCACTTAGTGATCTAAAGGCCAGGAGTCATATCACCTAAATCTGAATCTCAGTTGCAGGTCTGCCACACTGTGTACCCTTCCACAAATTGCTTACATTTTCTAAGACTCATCTTCATTTGTCAAATGTTAATAATAATTGACAGGTTGTTTAAATGATTGAATGATGTAATCATCCACACAAAAGCTTGACAATGGTGCTTGGCACTTGTAAGTATTCAAGAGGAAAACGCTAATTGGCAATAAATGGAACTAGCTTAAGTAGGCAGAATGGAAATTTTCCATTCAGTATGTTAGTGGCTCATGGATTGGAAAGCCCAACTCAGCTACCAAAGAAAAATTAAAGAGCATGGTGGCCACAGGGATTTGGGTAACAAAAAAGGAGTGTGTGTGGGTGGGGTGACCTTGGGGAGAGATCAATCTTTTGGCTTCTGGTTTTTCTGCTCAAGAACCAAATTTCTCAGGGCAATCATTTGATTGGTCTAGTTTGTGCCTACCTGATTGCCTAATTAACAAATCATCTTGGGCAATGAAAGAGCTAAATAGTCTCTAGTAGTATCCCTAAGCAAACATAGACACTGTTGCCATTAAGGGTTAACTTAAAGATGAGGATCCTAGCTACATTAAGGGTTAACTTACATTCCTAGCTACATTTGTTGCTCTACATTTGCTGCGTTCACAGGACAAGGATTATGTCTTATCAGCTGAGGCTACATCAACTGATGTTGTAACCCAACTATTTTCAATATTCTGAGTTTGTTACTTGGCTTTCTTAGACAGTTTGACTAGTCACACAGATGATTTGCATTTTCTAGGCTCAGTCCCAAAGAAAACACATGTTCCTTTCTTGCATGCTTTAATCTTTCGAAGTCTGTGACTGATAATTATGAAGGGGTATAACAAGACTGTTTCTAAGGGGTGGAGGAAGCCGAGAGTGAAGTTGTTAATCAAAAATTATCAGCATTGAAGAGGAAAAGGAAGAACAGACCCAGTTGTCTGTTTTAATTTCTCTCTAAATTTTGTGCAGATTCCAAGTCTAGGATGAGATGGAATAAAAGAGGAGTTGATAAGGAAGAGTCTCTTTTGTTTAACTTTAAAGGGTAAAACAGAAGACTGATTATATGCTGCATCTATAGGACTAAGGTATCAATTGTGTTCATCTTTCCACATGAATGTAGTTTCCCCTCAAATTCATCTCTGCTATTAAAGACAGCCTGATACCAGTTGCCCGATGGCAACCTGTCTCCTGATAGCTGACTCTTGTGTCATTCCTTTCTGTGAAGTCATAGGAGGAATTAGCTTCTTAAGCATTATTTTGGCCTCATGCTTTTCAAATGATACTCAGCTCCTGATCCAGCTGTGAAAGCAATTTGACTGAGACATCTGTCATCCCTTCGTTCGCCAGCACTGATTCTATTGATCTAACTGGTGATGGGATGCTCACCTCCCACCATTCCATATGCTCTGCCTCACTGGAAAATGCACACATGGGAACACTGACAAGCAGATTGGAAGGGAGCTAATGGTCCCTGGTGCTATTGTCTGTGGAAAAAAGAGGTGGGCCTGGAGATAGTATTGGAGAACTCTAACAACGAATGACCAAGATGTATAGGCTGAAAACAAAGAAGTAGATGTCAAGAAAGTAGAAAGAAAAACAGGGAAAATATGATGCTGTGGAGGCTAAGGGAAGAGAATATTTCAAAACACAGAGATCATAATCAAAATGTGACATAAAAGTCAGGTGGTGGTAATACGCACCTTTAATTCCAGCACTCAGAAGGCAGAGGCAGACAGAGCTCTGAGTTTGAGGTCAGCCTGGTCTACAGAGAGGGTTCCAGGACAGCCAAGGCTACACAAAGAAACCCTGACTCAAAAAACCAAAACAGAAAAAGAAAAAAAGTGGCATAAGAAACAATGGCATGGTGCTGGAAAGATGGCTCGGCGGTTAAGAGCACTGACTACTCTTCCAGATCAGCCTGGTTCAGTTCCCGGTACCCACATGGCAGCTCACAACTGTCTGTAACTCCAAGATCTGACACCCTCACATGGACATACATGTAGGCAAAACACCAATGCAAATAAAATGTAAATAAATAAATTATAAAAAAGAACAATGGCAGATTATTCAAACTTTAGAAGGGTAGAAAATCCTAACATATTACAAAATGGATGGATCTTGAGGAACTCATGCTAAGCTACATAAGTCAGTCATACAAGAATAAATGATGTATGATTTGTTTACACAAAGTACATAGAATTGCCAAACTCATGAAGACAGTAGAGTTGTGACTGGGTGACCAGAGGCTAAGTGGGGAATCAGTGCCTAATGGGTGTAAGGTTTAAGTTGTGGTGCACTAGTCAGTGGTGACGGTGACATAGCAATGTGAATGGTCTTAATGCCACTGAACTGAATACTTAAAGGCAGCAGAGGTGACAAGCTTTGGGTTTTGCATATCTTTCCACAGTTAAAGATAGAGCTCAATAGAGTCAGATGCTGGTGGAAGTTCAGGTTCAGACATGATTGAAAAGAGCCCTGTGTTTAGTGTCCCGAGACTGCTGGTGACAGGAGTGAGAGGGATCCGCCTACATTCCAGATGACACCATTATTCGCATAGAGGGACCCATGCATGCTTTCTGACTTACAACTTGCTTTCGGTAAAAGTGAGTCATGGCTGATTCAGGCCATGTGCAGCTCCCATGATGAACCTCTTCCTCCTGTCCCTGCATTTACAGATTCATTTCATTCTCCCTGGCTCTCTGTTTGGCTTGCACACATGGTTCATCATGTTTTAAACTGAAATTGATCAGGACCGCGATGTCCTGAATCCTCAAGTATTGTGTGAATGCCTCTGCTCTGCCAGCCACTATCTTTTCCCTGCTTCCAACTAGCAAACCCTCTCCTTCCCAGGACCTTTCTCTAGATTAGCTCTATTTGACTTCAAAACATTCCTACCAATGCTTTCATCTCCATTATCCCACTCAGTTTCATCTAAAGAATAGTGAAATGACATTTTAAATTTAGGAGCTTAACATGCTGTGACTATTTATTTTCTCATTTCATAAACTTGATAAAGCCATTGGAGCACAGCGGCTGTTAGGATAGTTGCTGAAGATCCAGTCCTTGCCTCACAAAACCCAGTGAGGCAGAGTTTAGTCAACCTTGGACATGGAAGTTTGTGTCTTGGGGTGGAAAAACATGAATAGCCAGGAAAAAAGTATCTATATGTACAGAAATACTTGCAACTCTTTTGGGAATGAGTGTATCAATCCATTTTAGTCCAAACTCATTCCTGATTAATTAAGTGTAGTGGGCATATATATTCACCATCCTGACATATACTCTAAAAGTTGTATATGCTCAAAACCTAACTGTTACAACAGGACTTTGCATCACTTGCTTGCTCGGCTCTCATATGTCTCCTAATATTGTACCAGATTCTGAACCCAAAAATCACCAAGAGGCCCATTTCGATGCAAAAGCAAAGAGTCTTTTATTGTTGTTGTTTGACGAGCTAACTGCAGTAACTCGGGCTTCATCCGTTCATCAGAGTGGATGACTGGAGAAGGACCCCAAGAAACCACAAGGGGGGCTACTTATGGGGCTGCATAAGGGGCATGTCTAGGGGTCTGCAACAGTCTCAGGATTGGTGAGCTACCAGGCTTGAATGACCTGTCCTGATTGGTCAACTGGTTGTTATGGCCCATAGGCTCTCCCAGGGCTGTTGCTATGCTCTGCTGCCACTGTTGTGCCGCTTGTACAAAAAAGCACTTCCAGAGCCACAAAGCACAGCCCCACCAGCTAACTTCTTATGGGTTCCTTGCCACAAGAAGGGCATCTGACCTCCTAGTGACTAGGGCAGGCCCAACAAGGTCAGACATGTGCTGAGTCAAAGGTCTACATGTCTTTTCTTCAGCCTGTCATAGCTGCTAAAACAATGTGGGGTATGGGGGGGTGTGGGGCTGGTTCCATCACTACTTTCCACTAAAAGTGGGTTACCAGGATGGAGAGACGGGTCAGTGGTTAAGAGTGGTGGATTCTCTTGCAGAGAGCAGACTGGGTTCCATTCCCACATGGCGGCTCACAACCATCTACAACTCCAATTCCAGGGATCTGATGTCCTTTTCTGGCCTCCAGGGGGACTGAGCATACACATGGCGGAACATCCATACAGTCAAAACATCTGCACACATAAAATCAAAATAAATCTTTTAAAATATGATTTTAATACTAGCCTCGTCTACAAAGCAAGTTCTACAGAGAAACCCTGTCTCAAAAAAAGAATCAGAGAAAAGAAAGAAAAAGATTTACCTTATTTCATTTCTACATTTCAACAAATGATTAAAAGACACAACATTCCATGAAAGAAAATGGGAACGATTGCTGTGCATTATTTACACAATTATAAACACATACCAGTGATACCAATTTGATGTCAAGTGGAAAGGCGAGCTCAGACTGGAGAGACCTCAAAACCTGTCAGTTCCTCTTGCCTGTCTGTCTGCAACACCCAGCTGCTCCTCTCTTTATATTATCAAGTTCTTAGGGATCCTCACCTCTTATGGCCCCTGGCTTGATCCTATACACCAAATGTTATCTTGTAGTTGCTCATTGGTTCAACCCACAGATACCTACTGAAAGCCTACTGAGTGTCAGGCAGGATATAATATATATATATATATATATATATATATATATATATATTCCTATCTCCATGGAGCTTATGTTTTACATGGAAAGACAGACAGAGCAAGTCCTCAGCAAAGATATAAAATAATGGGACCATAATAGATAAAGGAAACAAGCAAGTTGCTGAGATAGAGAACAATAAATAGATAACTGTCTGCTCCATGAAACACATCAGGAAAGAACTCCATGAGAATGTGAAACAGAAGGAGACCAGTAGAGAGGGAAGGACTTATGCTTTCTGAGCACAGGAAGCAGTCTGTGTAACTGTCCTGAGGCTGTGTGAATGTGATGTATGTAAGAACAGACCCTTCCTTCTGCTGTCATTCCAGATTGTTTTATATCTTCCCTGGGGGGTTGATACAACTGGCCTTACTAAGATACCTGCTACTCTCCGTTCGGTTTTATGTCATACTGATCAGCATGGCCTTGAGGATAGAAACCAAGCCTAAGTTTTTCTTTTACAGTGCACATGACAGTACCCTGCAAACACACTTCCTTGACAACTTTTAATTTTATAAGACTGTATGTTGAGGCCATATTTCTTAGTCCACTATATGATTTTGAGTGAACTACACCCAAATTGTACAGCTCAAACTTCTACCAAAGTTCACTCCGTCAGTCACACTTAGTCCCGGATGTACTGTTAACATGTTATGGAGAGCTCTAGTTAGCGCATTATCTGATGTCTGCTCCACAGGTTCCTTTCAGGATTTGGTACTCAGGAGGCCTTTCTGCTTCTCATCTGAACTCAAGGCTCACATGATGGTTTGTGTTTTACCCTGCCGCCCAAGTGTCAGAGAGCTCAAAGTCAGTTCAAGACTTCACGATGAGCTGTTTCAGTCACACATTCATCCATATGGTAGCAAGACCCATGCTTTTCTTTTTATCAGATCTCAACTTTTCTCTTCGTGATGGCTAATATCAGGGTGTCGAGGCCCTGTGCCAAGGGCTTTAAATGAGATATCTTACTTAACCTTCACAGCAATTCTGAGTTTTAGAGATGAAAAACAGCCCAAGTCGTGCTAAACACTACTGACCGCAATGTCTAGGAGCATGGGAATGGGTATCAGAGCTAGGATGGAGCCCTGGCACTCTAACGTCTCCACTGTGCTGTATGCTATGCTATATGCTAATCCCTGATCATGTAGGATGTTACGTCATTGTAAAGTAGTTTTGGCTGTGATTATGGGTGGGGCAGACATATGTTCGTTCTCATGTGTGCAAACACGCATGTGAGTGTGTGCATGACAGTCATAGGTTGACATCTGATTGCTTTCTACCTAATATACTGGTATTCTCTCTCTCTCTCCCTCTCTCTCTCTCTCTCTCTCTCTCTCTGTGTGTGTGTGTGTGTGTGTGTGTGTGTGTGTGTGTGTGTGTCTCCCTCTCTCTCTCTCTTTCTGTCTCTGAACCCAGAGTTCTCTCATTTGTGAAGCTAGCCATTTTGCTCTGGGAATCCCTTGTCTTAGTTTTCCAAGTGCAAGGATTACAGGCCCATGCCATGCCCCAGCACCAATGTTTACACTCACCAGTCACCAAGCCACCTCCCGAGGCTCCTGAGGGATTTGTCTTCAAAACAATTTCAGCTGAGCATGACGGCACACACCTTTAATCCCAGCACTCAGGGGACAGAAACAGTCAGATCTCTTCGGGTTCAAGGCCAATCAGGTCTACATAGTGAATTCCAGGACAGACCCTGTCTCAAAATAAATAATAAAATTAATTTTTAAAAAAAAATCAGGAAAAGAGCAAAAATATGTATTTACGCTTCATGTACATGTGCCTATTTACATGAAAAGATTTGAATTGAAACATACAGCAAAATACCGTCTTTGTTTATGACTTCATACTACACTTTGGTTGGCAGTCATTACAAAACAGTTCTTTGATCCTGTATTCTTCAAAATAGATGAGTAGAACTAAGTGATAGGGTATTTTAATACATAGTTAAAGAGGAGATGTAAACAATTTTATTTAAAAGTTTCATCAAAGTACAGGATTGGATTAAAAGAAAAAGCAGGGGGAGGCTCAAATATTCTATTGAGATTGTGGCTAGGCCGGTGCAGTAGATTTCAAAGAGAGCTCCCAGCTGCACTGCAGTCGAATTCCTTAGATAATATATGTCATGTTTTAATACAAGATTGCCTCCCAAGTGGGAAATAGATCATGAATTCCTGGCTCTCTCTGACGCTCAGAGCTGTGCTCATCGGAAGAATTTCATGTGGTTTAACACTTAAATAGCTCCGCGTTGCCTGTCAGCCAAGATTGGCTTTGCATTTTTATAGAGACAATTTGTACAGAGAGGAAAATTATTAGAGATGATTCCCAAGGCAAATGCTATCTTTGAGGACGGTACTCTGGGTTATCTTTTCTCACTCAGGAGTTTACCCCAGCACTAGTTAGAAAACATGGCTATTAATATATTGGGAACCCGAGGCTTCGTTGTAGGAAGACCCTGCGGTACTTGTTTCCCAGTCACCAAAGTCAGAGGCAAGAATGCTCAGATGGAGAACCCGGTTCGGTAGCCGCAGCAGGAAATCCTCCCAGAGTGTTCACAGTCATTTAGAGAGAGCAATAGCTTTTCATTCGCCATAAGAACCGGTGCTCCCTCCCCCTCCTCCAAGAAAGCCCACAGAGTCCCCTTACCAAACCAACTCACAATTATAAAATGTCAAAACACAAAAATAGAACAAAACAAAACAGATTACCAGAGCGCGAGTCCGGCAGGGTTAGAAGGCAGCCTGGTGGGGTGTACTTTTCTTATCTGCGGTCGAGATTACCTGGTGGTGTTACCGGGAGCTTGGGGACAGGAGGGAGTTGTTTGCAACTGATAAGAAAATGTCTGCTTTTCTCCTTTTCATTCCGTGAAGGATTAATGGAAAAATGTAGAAATAGGCTGCAGCAAATTATCAAAGTAGGCAAGAGTCAAATGCGCAACATTTTAAGATCAAGAGCTGCAGGAAAAATATGCTTTCTGAAGATAAGGGACGGAGGGCATGGACCTTTGCAAGAAGTCTAGAGCAGTATGGGCAACAGAAAGATGGGTGAGTCAGCACCGCCTGAGGTCACAGGGTTCAGGCCTGAGCCTGTCCACACCAAGGTTTGCTAAGGTGGAGGTGCACACTGCTCCTGCCCACAGTCCAATCGCTCCCTTGATGGGACGGAGAACAGGCCCTGATGGGATTGGATGAATCTAAGCATTTCTCCTGTCACAAATTACTGGATGGCTCAAGTCTCCTGGATGTTTATACCCCACTCGGTGAGTGTTTTCAGAATCTCACTCATTATTTTATCCTTCAACAGAGGCCTTACTGGGGGACCTGCTGTTAGGCATTGTGTTGTGCTGAGAGGAGTCAAAGATGAACAAAACGAGGAATTCAGCAGAAGAGGTGTGATTGGGTCTTAGAAAGTGTCTCACACTGTTCCCTTAAAGGGCCTGTTAAACATTTTTTAAAAAATCACCTATTTATGATGCTATCTCCCACTCCTCCTTGCTCCCTGTCCCAGATAGAGTTTCTCTGTGTAGTCTTGGCTGTCCTGAAACTCACTCTGTAGACCAAGCTGGCCTCGAACTCTCTTAGATCTGCCTGCCCAGGCCCTGGGATTAAAGGCTTGCACCACCACCGCCCACTTTATAATGCCAATTTTAAAGACTTGGACTGTAAATAGGGACAACCATTTCTGATAAACATTCCCAAGCTAGAGCCCAAGTCACCATCACAAGATTTGAGGGAATATGGATTTTTAGAGTAAAGGAGACAGGATTCTTTCAAAACACGGCACCTTCCCCAAAGACACTTCTATTCATTTCTCTTTCAATTAATTCTGCCCCTCCCAATATTCTATATTTACTCTTTGGCTGAGAAGCATGCTCTCTCTTCTTATTCTTAGCTTCTCACCCACATGCCTGATTCTTTCACATATTGTGGTAGTTAAGAGCCCAGCCATTGCAGTCAAAGACAAGCAGGCTCACATTTAGGAACAGCTAGTATTTGTGTAGCACTGGGCCAGTGGCTGGATCTTTCTGTACCTTACGTTTATCGTCTATAGAAGAAAGAAAGTAATGACACCTGTTTGACAGTGTTGTCAGGAAGATTAAATGGAAGCCTGGTGTGGCAGTTCATCCTTGTATTCCCAGCACTTGGGAGAATGAGGCAGGAAAGTTCACTGTGAATTTTAGGCCAGCCTGGATAGTGAGTGGTTTGGACAGACTGGCTATAGTGTGAGGCCCAGGTTTCAAAACACCAAAACCAAATGAAAAAACAGTAACATCAAAAGATTAATTGGAGTCGGGCGTTGATGGAGCATGCCTTAAATCCCAGAACTCTGTGAGTTCAAGGCCAGCCTGATCTACAGAGCGAGTTCCAGAACAACCTCCAAAACAATACAGAGAAACCTTGTCTTAGAAAAAAAAAGATTAATTGGGATAGCATAGGTAAAAGCCAACGCAGTTAGCTATATTAATAGCTCATTAACTATTCTGAGGTTTAAAATCTATTTTCATATCCAAGTGGTATATAATCTTTTTTACTTCTGCTTGTTTATTATTTCCAATATTCTTTTTCATTTTAATATGCAGCCCATTTATATACCAAAGATAATATCATGAAAAAAGAAGCAAATTCTTTTAGTATTTTATGTTTGAGTCTGGTGGTACACAGTTGTAGTGTTGGAACTTGAAGACTGAGACAAGAAACAAGTTCAGTACTAGACTTGGATACATAGTTAATTCAAGGCCTGAACTACACAGAGATGCTATCGTGTGTGTGTGTGTGTGTGTGTGTGTGTGTGTGTGTGTGTGTGTGTGTGTGTGTTGGGGTACTCTAAAGGCCACAGGTATTGGAAATGGGAAAGAGTTACTTCTTTACGGTAAAATCCCACTTGCAAACAAAACTTGAAGACTGTGGAGTTTGTGCAGTCATTGGCAGCACACCTGGTTTTTCTGCTTTGATGAAGAAAGCAGCTCAGGACCTCATTGTGAGTCATGGCTTTCCACATCACCCTTCACTGGGTGCTGATGTCCCTGCCAACAGTCCCGGAGTGAGTCTGCCTATAGTCACCAGTTTCTCTAGAGCCTGGACTTGGATTCACTGGCATTGTAAGAATCTCCCCTCAAAAGGTAAAATTCTTCATAGGGATTCATGCATCAAACAATTCTTCAGGGCAAAGATTGTTGGCGGTTTGATTTATGGAGTCACATGAGTACCATTTGGCTTTTGTTCTGTAGCAGAAGCTTCTGAGTAGCTATTTTGGAAACTAATCCAGAAAAAGAAAGGAGATTAAGTGGGGTGGAGGCAAGAAATAAGCCAGGAGTGCTTTGGGCAAAGTTGCCACCATAAGAGACTGAAAAAAAAAATACCCCCAGCTTCTCCCACTGGAGGAGAGTCTCCTGATTAAAAAGTGATGAGATATGTCCACTTTTCACGACACTAAAGCTCACAGACAGTAGATTAGAGATGTTGACCTCAAAATTGGACTGTGCACCTTAACCCTTGACCTGGTGAAGACATTGAGACTGCAGACTTTGCAAAGGTGACTGAGTTTGTAGACATGAAGATAGACGAAATGATGCCACATTAGCTTAAAGAATTTTCTTAATAAAATAAAGAGTTCTAGAAAATTCTAGTGTGTCTGGACCCAACCTATTCTTTTTGTTATTGAAATTGGTAGATTCCTGACTTGGTAGCATTTACCTTTGTTCACAGAACTCAGCAGCTAGAGAAAAGCAGAGCTCTCTATAAGTTCAAGGCCAGTTTGGTCTATATGGGGAGTTCCAGGCCAAAAAGGGTAATATAGAATGTTTTTTAAAAATGACATTCTAGCTGGGCAGTGGTGGCACATGACTTTAATTCCAGAGACAGGAGGATCTTTTTGAGTTTGAGGCCAGCCTGGTCTACGGGGTGATTTCCAGGACAGGCTCCAAAGCCACACAGAGAAACCCAGTCTCAAAAAACTTAGAAAAAACAAACAAACAAATGACATTCTGAAACAAATGACCAGCATATTATCATCTAAGAATAGACCATAATTTCTTCTCATGTTACACAAGGACAGACTTGATATTGAAATTCATTTCAGGGGAAGAAGCTGGATTTTTTTTCTTTTCTTTTTACACATCTGTATTGTTTTCCAATTTGTATGAATAATCTAGAATAAGGAGCATAATTTGTTTTCTTTGTGAAGGAAGTCTATTTTTAATGAAATCAAATTTGGCGAGATGTTAGGACCATCCTTGTGAGAATGTATTATATCATAGTCATTATATTTCACTGGTGACCCATCCCACAGACACACAAGAAAATTATTGGGAATCAAACTAAACCGAAGAAAAACAAAACAATTACAAGCAACCAATCAACTACAAAATTCCTGTGAAAATGAAATCTTCTTTTCCAAATGTATGGCTATCAAATTTTCCCCAGTTAGACTCCCCACCTGTTCAGACCTGTGTTGATTGCCAGGTGCTTAGAATATGCCCAGCTGCCACCTATGGCATCTTGGCCCTGCTTGTTTTTCTTCTATGATGACCGATGTCCCACTTCCAAATCCATGGGCACATTTAGGCATCTTAAGTAACTGACAGTTGCCTTCACCTGGGCGTGTCACTATTCTCTGTGCCAAAGTCCTGGCTTTTTTTTTCCTACTGTGTCATTTTGCCATTGTTTGAACTCTGCACAATGCTGTGTGGTAGAGTATGACAAATTCTTGCAGGTGTATGCTGAAACAGACTTTTTGTCTTAAGGGGGAGCACTTAAAGCCTTTTCACTTTGATGATATTTGAAGTTTTTAAATGTTTAGTTTTTCTTGAACTGATAGAATAGCAAATGAGTTGAGATTTTGACTATTAACAAATAGTTCCAGTCTACCATCTTAAAGACACAGCAAGCTGTTTGAATTAAGCATGCTCTTGGTATGAGAACAGGTGGACTCCCTCCAAGCAACAGTGAAATCAAGGTGGAGGAATTGGGAGAACAGAGGGAAATAGAAGCTCCCCACCCCAGGAAGTCAGTGATTTCTAGGGGAAATGAGCACAGTTAGGGCAGATACAATGCTGGGTTTTAGATCTCAGTGCTTTCAAAGACCCATGTCACGTGCTAAAGTAACCCCCCCCCCAACCTGTGCTATTAAGTAGGTGACGCTTAGTAGTTCCTGGAGCCATATCCTCAATGGCAATTGTGAGATTCCTCTTTCCCTTCTTCCTTTCAGTCATGCCTATGAAGTAAATTGTTTCTTCCCATCAGACTCCCAGCATGGTGTGTTTACGGCTGCCAACAGAGCATAGAAGCGATATTTTATTGCATCTTCAATACTATAAGCCATAGTAAACCTTGCTCTTTCAGAAGTTGATTTTCTCAAGTAATACTTGCCTGAAAACATGCTGGCATCTAAGCAACAGAGAGAAGGAATTTAATGAACTATTTGGTAGTTGACTGGGGAGGAACTTAGGCATGTGATAAGCCACCAGCATACTTGGGGGGAATCTTCTGAGAGATGTGGAAGATGCCCTTAAAACAGGTTGCAGAGTTTTAGGTAGCCAACAAGTGGAATGATCTCCAAGATTCTTAAAAAGTGATGTTTACAGTTAATGAAGTTGGTGAAGAAGTTTATGATTAGTGAAGATGGTAATATGAATCTACTTGTTTACTTTTAAAACATGTAAGCAGGTCTGTGCTGGGCATGGTTTCACACACCTGTAATCCCAGCAGGCTGGAGGTAGAGACTTGGATCAGAAGCTTAAGGACATGCTTGTTAACATTGCTAGTTTGATTTAGCCGGGCATTGGTGGCACACACCTTTAGTCCCAGCAGAGGCAGAGGCAGGTGGATCTCTGTGAGTTTGAGGCTAGCCTTGTCTACAGAGTGAGTTACAGAATAGCCAAGGCTAAGGCTACACAGAGAAACCCTGTCTCAAAAAACAAACAAACAAAAAACCAGTCAGCCAGACAAACAAACAAGCAAACAAAAAAGCCTTTACCAAAAAGGAGGTTTAAAAGAGAAAGAAAAGATTTAATTAAGACATCATAGTCTATAAGAAAGATAAATTATTAGGACAATTATTAGAACCTCATTTTTTTGGCCATCATTCCTTCTTTGATATCTGTTCAAAGTTAGCTTTCGAACTTCTTCTTTCTTCCTTCATTCATTTTTTTTTGAGTCAGGGTTTCTCTGTGGCTTTGGATCCTGTCCTGGCATTTACTCTGTAGACCAGGCTGGCCTCCAACTCACAGAGATCTTCCTGCCTCTGCCTCCCAAGTGCTGGGATTAAAGGCGTGTGCCACCAACACCTGGCTCAACCTTCTTCTAATTCCTATTAATTTCCTTTAAAAATGTACTTATTTGTTGTGTATACAATGCTCTGCATGTATTCCTGTAGGCTAGAAGAGGGCACCAGATCTCATTACAGATGGTTGTGAACCACCCTGTGGTTGCTGGGAACTGAACTCAGAAC